GCAACTTACGCAACGATCGAGCGGAACCAGGGCTCCAAAGTCATTGCCAGAGATCTGTCTGCCAGAAAGAGAAAGCCAGTGGCAGCATCATTTCCGAGACATGTGAGATTTTGAGTGAGATTGAGAGGTTCTATGGGCAGCTGTACACATCATCGTTAGAGCCACATGCAAGTATGAGTAACGATCCAATAGAAAGCCTTATCCGACACTATTCCGATTATATCCCGGACGTCAGTCTGAGCGAGATTAGAATGGCTCTCCAGCACCTTAAAATCGGCAGTGACCCAGGCGAAGATGGAATTACACTGAAGTTTCTGAAAGCAGGTGGAAAACCGGTACTTGAAATCCTTCAGAAGTTCTTTAATTCCGTCCTCCATGGTGGTACAACTCCGGAGACGTGGCGAAAGGCGACAATGCTCTCTTGAAGAACTACAGACAGCTTTCCCTTCTGAGCCGCGTCTACGCACTGTTTTCGAGAGCCATTACGAATCGTCTCGCATGCAGACTCGATGACTTCCAGCCTCCCGAACAAGCCGGTTTCCGAAAAAGATTTACTCTTAATTCTAAATTTAATCTTGCATTGCACTGCATTACATATTTATCGGCGCAAGTGGTCAACTGCGACGAGACCTGACGCGATGACGTCAGATCACGTGATGCGCTCGCTCTCCCGCCACACGACAGTATAAAATAGGCGTGCACTGCGTGCTGCAGTCAGTCTTCCTGTATAGCACAGTTACTATACTCTTTGAGTCAGTCACTCTCTAGCGCCGATCGCGTTAAAGTTGTGTCGCATAAACGTTGTGAGTGTTCTAGTGAAGTAAAACATAGTCAAATACTTAACAATAAACGTGAAGTGATTATATTGTGAATGAACTAATTTATCTATATACTTACAAATAATTGTTTGAATGGTGTAATTAAGCTGTAAACAAATATTTGTGTAAACATTTTGTGAATTGTGTTATTAATATTGGTACAAAGCAGTGTGTGATCTGTAATAAATTATCAGCATGTAAAGCAACAGTGGTTTTAACGACAACTAATTATACCCTCCTTCAACATATTTGCATAGTTATGCATACATTTTTGGTCCTTCGACTACTAATTTAGTGTTTAGTGTTTTGGTACAGTGAGGAATCGGTTCGTCTGGCCTCCCACAAGCGGTTCTTACCAGTCGAATTGAGAAGAAGCATGCATACTGTACTAAGGCCACAAACGCACTATGTGCACCCGACGATTGGAAGTTAGAGTTCAAACAGTGTTACATATTTTATCAATAAGTTATCATCATGCAAGCCTTACTGCAGAGACAGTTTGAAATCGCGAACGAGATCAGAACACAAATTACATAAAGGATCCGAAGTCGAGAAAAACTAAGGAATACATTTTTTTTTATAAGAGATGCGGCAAACGAGCATACGGCTCACCTGATGGTAAGTGACTACCGCCGCTCATGAACAACTGCAACACCAAGAGAATTTCAGGTGCGTTGCCGGCCTTTTAAAAAGGAGTAAGCTCTTTTCTTGAAGGTCCCTAAGTCGTATCGGTTTGGAAAAATCGCCGGTGGTTAATTATTCCACAGAGAGTTCGTACGCGGAAGGAAACTCCTAGTGAAACGTACAGTGGTGGACCGCCAAACATCCAGATGGTGTGGATGGTACCGGGAATTTTGCCGCGATGTACGTTCATGAAATTTGGCGGCTGGGATTAAGCCGAACAATTCTTCAGAGCACTACTTGTGGTAAATTCGAAAGAAAATGCAAATAGATGCAACATCTATTCGCAGCGCAATCGAATCGATAAGGGCTCGGTCGTCGACGATTCGAGCCGCTCTGCGCTGGATGCGGCCAAGTGGAAGAAGCTGGCACTAGGGAGCTACAGCCCAGAGATGGGAATAGTATTCCATGTGAGGCCGAAACTGCGCCATGTAAAGTTGCAGGCGGTGTACCGGCATGAAATACTGTCCCGCTCTGCTGAGCAGGCCTTGCTTTTTAGAGGTCAATTTAGCCTTCTCTTCCAAGTGACCGCGAAACTGCACGTCATTCGATATGTCGACGCCGAGGATTCCTATATGGGCTCAGGCAATAAGGGGAGTGCCTTGAAACTGAGGAGATACGACAAAGGGGTTCTTTTTAGCGGTAAACGCGCAAACTTTTGTCTTCTGAGGATTAAAATGGATTAGATTTAATCGCCCCCAATCCGAGACTTTGTTCAGCAAAGACTCAACTTCAGTCACATGTTTGTTCCGGTACTCGGCGATGTATTCCCGAGTATTTCCCGAGAATATTGGCACGGCCGGTGTATATGGCATCACCAGTGTTATCCGCATAGCAATGAATGTTATCACTTTGCAACATATCATTGATATGCAGAAGATACAGTATTGGTGATAGCACGCAGCCTTGTGGAATACCAGCATATTAATACATAGAGAAGAGAATCAAAAATTTGGATGAACTTTGGTTCGAATTCAAAAGCAACTACGAACAATTATCAATATTAGAAGACAAGACTCACGAATATTTTACAAAGGACATGTTTCTTGTGTATGAACATTTGTACAACAAATCGCGTAAAATAATGGCTTTGTATGAGTATGAATCAAAGAATGAATCGGCGAAGGATAATACTACCCAGGTGGACCTTGAAAAGCTAAAGACATAGACATTGAAAATATCGACGAGAAATGGGAGCTAGTGTTTGAGTTGAGAAACCTTCAAAATCGTTAGAGCATTATCGAAGAAACACACTTGAAGTTTGGCAATATTCTCTAAGGTTATAATTTAAACTAAGACAAGAAATGTGAGGAAATGGACGTCACGTTTAAGAACATGAAGAGAAAACTATGTATACCTAACAACACCAAAAATAGAAATTCCTACGTTTTCCGGGAATTTTATCCAATGGTGTACATTTTCTGACCTAAAGAGGTCAGAAAAGAAGCCGTTCACATCAATTTGTCCATGACTAAGCCACAAAAGGTGCAGCATTTAAAGGGCAAGCTCGGAGGTAAACACAAACAATCATCAACAGAACTCAAACGAGTTCACGATGTATCAATGGAATGCATTCATGGTGTTTTCAATATGGGGATTGACACTAGCTTTTGTAATCCAATTCTGGTACACCTTATAGCAAAGAAATAATTATACAACGACATTCAGTGATTATATGGAGTCAAAAAAAGCCCCAGTTTTGGAAGCTTCGCAGTTGACATATCGAATAGTGTGCAGTATCGTGGTCGTGGCTAGACTCACTGGCACTGCGTAGAAGCACAAGAAGCGGGAAAGGAATATACAGATAAGAGGAGCAAGGCCAAAGAGTGTGATTTAGTACCAGGAGATAAGGTATACACCAAAAAGTTTATAAAAATTATAAATTAAGCTTAAATTATGATCCAGTTCCTCACACGGTGCATCGGAGTGTAGGTGGAGATGTGGATGTTTGTAACGACGAAACGGGACAAGTCTATAGAAGGATATTTTACATAGTACACTTAAAGAAAGTTGAAGGAAGATGCAGAGTTCTTGGTGATCAGAATAAGGAATTAAATCTTGGAAAGAAAGATGAAAGAGTAGAAAGTGATGTAGAGTAAATTATAGATAAAATATAGATGCTGTAAAAGAAAACAACTTACAAAATATTAATAATTCTTTAATTTAATAGGACGAAGTTTACGATGAGTGATTTTCTATAAATTAAACAGTAAAAGTTAAAAAATATGTTTTATTAAAAATAACTTTATAAACAAACAGATATACTTCCGAAAAATAGTAAATTAAAACAAGGAAGGGATGTAGTGTATGCAAATACACTAACTTGTCTCGAGCGCATACGTCACGATGTGCGGGAACGAAAGCGGCAGTCTATCCGACAACCGGCCCGGTAACATGTGCGGTGGTATGTTGGCGAGCCAAGATAAGTTCATAAAAAGCGAACAATACACTACCGCCAAGCAGCTATACGTGCATTACTGTGTGCACATTATGTGCGCACTGCTGTGTTCCGTTTCGATAGGTAAAGCGAGCCAGTATAAAATTACTGACTATGAGGTATAATAGCGGTTACTATTCCGGTCAGCCTCTCGGGTCTTTTGAGGCGACTGGCACTCCGTGACGGATCGCTCCAGGCTCAAATGCAGCAGGCGGTGCTCATCGATACCACCCGCATCGTGCGCCGGTTTCTTTCCCTTTCTCCCTAACATCTCGGTAGAGGAGAGTAATTGTGTTGTGTCCCTCACCCTCGGCCGTTTGGTCTGCCCTGGCGAGGGCTTGCATCTGGTAGGGTTTTTATTTATTTTACTTTATTGATTTAATATATTTATGTATATTTATCATTTTCATTTATATATTTATACAGACCAACCAGATGAGAAAACTATATAACCCCAGATATCTTTAACTAAATCCAATATTAAATTACTAGGTATTTTTGCTAAGACCTATTTAACTACCGTTTGTGGCCAGAACGCACAATACATAGCTATAATTACAACAGGAGAAATTAAACCGTTTTGTGCGGTCCACTAAATATTTCCATGAGTATATTTTTATATTTTTATCAGCCTAATAAGGGGGAAGGGGGGAGGGGGAGCTTTAGGACGTCATTAGATTACTGTTCATTTTCCATAGTCCCCTTTTACGACACCGATGGTGTGAAATTGGGTGACGGATCTGCCACCACACGCCACTTTAAATAAACAACATCATAATATTATTTCGTTATATAAGTTTAATAAGAAATCAAACTTACAGTTACATATAATATGGTAATAATTTGTATTTTCTCATCAATCGATTTACTCTGTTCTTTTATTAAATCTTTGCCTTACTCTATGTTTTATGGCTAAAAAAATTGTAAGTTACAAAAAGTTTATTTCGTATTCGTATTACATTGAAATTTTTTACTTTGTAGATTTAAGTGATTGTATAAAATTTAATCCAAGTAGTCAATTATTTACTATGGAATCCGGTCATGTGTCTATTTTGTTTTGAATTCTACCAAGTCTCAATAGGTCGGATCGAGTAACGGCTCTCTTTGACAAAATGCATAAACGCGTCCTCCATGTTCGCATCGTAGGCCGAGTAGTCCTCCACGATGTCGTCGAACTCCGCCGCAAGGAAACCCAATTTGATAAAAATCACATTGTACGCCAAATTCTCCATTATCGTAAACCGAAGGGTTGTCTGTAATAATATTACATTAGAGGTTACATCTTTTGACACAAATTATTTTTAATTACTGGTGAAAACCGGCTTCAAAGTACGAAAAATACAAAAATAATTTCACATTCTGAGGACAGTGCTAAGGCACTTGTCCCACCGCCGACGTGGAAACGATTAACTATCGACTAGTTTTTCGCTCAAGAAACGAACAATAGATATAGATCCCATATATTAATAGTTGATGGCTGGCTGTTCACACTGCCGGTGAGAACTCTCTCACCACTAGTTTGTCGCAGCGACAAGAGCTACCAAAAATAAAACTCGCTCAGCGACGCTCGCTCGGCGGTCAGAACTCACGCCGAGAGAACCAACCAGCGATCATTTTACTCTACAGTGCGGATCTGAGTGCACTCGCTTATAGCCCATCGACAAAACTATCGAAATTTGCTATCTTCGCCTAAAAACTTAGGTATATCTAATATTTTAAGAGACAGTGAAGTTATTAAGTTCTAAAATTTAAGCGGCTCATTGTTGGACAGGTTACCCTTACGTTACAGAGCCACGCTGCAATTACAATAGATCGGGGAAAAGTTTCTTCATATTTTGTTTATATAAAATTGAAGAAAAATCTTTTTGGTTGTACTGTTTATATCTGGCTGATTTTAATATCAATATATATGGGATATTAAGAAAAAGGAAAATTAAAATTAAAAACACTTTGCCGCTATTTTTCAATTGTTTTTCGGTCCGACAAAATGAGTGAATCTAACGAAGAAATTCGATACATCTTGAAGTTTTATTACAAAAAAAGGGAAAAATGGTATGAACTAGCTCTAGGACAAGTGCCTAAGGCTGTAGAAGAATTAGGGTACGTACAGACGTGCTCAAAAAAAAGTATGCTCATAAGCTTGCTTAAAATTTGCATGCTCTGCAACTGTTCACATTTGCCAGCAATAAGCACGCTATACTCATAAATAAGCATATTCAAAGCAAACTTTGGACAGACGTGTTATTTGGCACCAGGCTCACGGCCAAAATGGATGTACAAAGATATCGTGACAGTGCTATGCCTACAGAACTGAATAAAACAATCATATTGCTTGCAACGGAATTGTGTAAGAAAATTTTGGTGAGAAACAAAAAAAAAGGGAAATTTGGGTTCTTAATTGGATAAACAGAAGAGAATCACTAGGAGTAAGTAGTCGATTGTTGGCAGAGATGCGAAGCGAAGATCTCGACAGTTATAAAAATCATTTGCGCAAACTCCCGCACAAACTTGATGAGCTACTTTCTAAAATTGAGAGCGTCATACAAAAACGAAACACTTCTGATATTCTAGCTAAAGCAAAACTGGAAATTACATTGAGATATTTAGCTGTCGGAGATTCTTTATACACATTATCAGCACTTGGAAGATCTATAATATCTGAATTAATACCTGAAGTTTGTGCTGCAATATCCATGGCTTTAAAGGATTACATTCGGGTAAGTAAATATTCATACAAAAATGTTTTATGAATATTTGAAAAGATTTTATTTAGTTTTATGTGAAGTATGATTATTATAGAAACCGAGGAAAAGTAGCAGAAGCATGATTAGAATTATAAAAAATTTCCTCCTCAGAAAGTCATGTATAAAACACTCTATAAAATTCTCCATCTTGTTCTCTATGCTTATTTACTGGGCGCACACAATGTTTTCTTTTCAGTTTTGATGCTGCCAATGTCCACAATATCAATAATTCGTCTTCCGATGAAGAACTATAGTCAAAAAACATGGTGACAGTAGTTCCACCGCGTAGACCGTCCAACAGCGGGATTCGCGATCAATTGAACCCTCGAACGCAGAACGCGAACGCGGAACGCTTGAACGCGTGACCGCTTCCTGTCTGATAGAACCTTTACTCTTATTACACTACTTAATATTATCATAAAAAATAAACAAATAAAACTATGATCTTATCTCCTTCTCACTTCTAAAGGTATGCAAAAGCTATGTTTTTCTCAGACAAGCCATAATCTATACCTAATATAAATAAAATTGAATTGAAGTGTCTGTCTGTAATATTTATAGTATAACTGGCTTCTATTAAGCTTAGGGGGCTGTTTTCATGCTCTTAAAACATAAACAGCCATTTTAATTTAATTTTTGTCAGCCTGTCTGTTCGGGCTACTCTTCGGAATGGCTTAACAGATTGTGATGTAACTTGACGAACAGATAGAGAGCAATGCTAGTAGAGATCTTATTTACTTATCTTCACGCACAATCCCTGACGGGGTAGCCAGAGAGAACAGATCGCCAAGTGTCACGATCCTTACAAACCTCTTTCGCTTCTTTCAGATTCATTATCTTCTTCATGCATGCACTGCGTCTAGGTATCCGAGTACTCTTGACCCTACCCTCTTCTAGCAATTTGCTCACATGGTCTTCGAAAGTTAGTCTCGGTCTACCTCGACACCTTTTAATATTAACTTTCGCGCTATATATTTTCTTCACCATTCGGTCTTCACTCATTCGCTCAACGTGCCCAAACCACCGAAGCACGCCCTTATCAATTTTTGTGATAAGGTCATCTTTCAAACCTGCCATATTGCGAATCTCTTCGTTTCGCTTTCGGTCGGCCATAGTAACGCCGCACATTTTACGAAGAGATCGCATCTCCACTGCATTCAACTTACTTTTATGCTTCTTCTGGCATACCCAGGTTTCGCTGCCATATAACAAAGTCGGTACCAACACTGCGTTATGTATTGCAAGGCGTGCACTCTTCGCTACGCCTTGCCTTTTGACTAACGCAGTCAGGGCACCATTGACTTTGGTCCCGGCAGCGACACGCCTGTCCACATCTAAATCACATCTTCCATCCCGGCTAAAAGCACTCCCCAAGTATACAATTTCATTTACCTGTTCTAGACTTTCCTGATTTACCCATATTTCACACTTCGTTCTCTCTTCGTCCCTTTCAAATACCAGAACCTTAGTTTTATTAGCATTCAAACGGAGACCTTTAATTTCACATTCCTCTTTCATACACGTGACTAATGCCTGCAGTTCTGCCTCTGATGGTGCAATAAGCACTGCATCATCAGCATACAGCAGACAACTTACTTTTATGTCACCCAATTTCACACCCAAATAGCTATCTTTCAGCTTCTGTAAACAGCTGTCGAGATACAGTATGAACAGCCAGGAAGACATGACAGAACCCTGCTTTACGCCCGTTTGGACGTTAAACATGGGTGACAGGTCATGCCCTACCCGCACACAGGCTTTACAGTCACAGTAAAGAGACTGCACAGCCCTTAGCAATCGACCATCCACACCATACCCCGGCAACAGTTCCCACATTTTCTTCCTTACAACCTTATCAAATGCTTTCTCAAGATCCACAAAAGCACAGAAAATCTTCTGGTTAGCAGCCAGAAGCTTTTCCGTGATCATGCGGAGAGAAAACATTTGATCCGTGCATCCTCTTCCAGGTCTAAATCCGTATATATATATATATCTAAATAGTAGAGATCTAGGCTATATTATTTGAAAAGCTTTTTTATAATTACTGAAAATAAATGATCTTTAAAGAATAGAATAGAATAGAATAATTTTTATTCAATATAGATCACATGTGTAATTCTTATTGAAAGTCATTTTTTTACTTTACCACTGGTTCGAAAAAAAACCTCTGTCCTGGGAAGAACCAGCAAGAAACCCAGCGAGACTTTTTTTTAAAGCAAATTTTACAATAATGGTTGTACGAACTATATAAGTACAAAATTTATTTTAGAAACAGCTTGGAAGCGATCACCTCATTCCCAGGGGTTATTATCAACCATGTATTCATTTATACTATAATAATTTTATTAAGCTTAGGGGGCTGTTTTCATGCTCTTAAAACATAAAAAGCCATTTTAATTTAATTTTTGTCAGCCTGTTTGTTCGGGCTACTTACTCTTCGGAATGGCTTAACAGATTGTGATGTAACTTGACGAACAGATAGAGAGCAATGCTAGTAGAGATCTAGGCTATATTTTTTTAATTACGGAAAATAAATGGTTTTATAGTCTAAGAGACCGTAGGACATCGACCTTCACCCATCTGATAACCGGATGAAACCTATTTTTTTATAAAATTTTATTGGTTTATAAACACGCCTATGATAGCTTGCCTTTCGATGTGTGATGAAGTGATCATGGCTATTTTTAATTAAATTAATTTTAATCAATTTTTTTTCACCACTCTATTCTTTTGATTACCGAACAAATTTTGTTTAAACAGATAGCTTTTAACATGGAAAATATGCCTTGGTAGGCCAGCCTACTTATTTCTGTACATGGCTACCAGGAAAGCAGTTATGAACTGAATGAGGTAAGTCAATATAGATAACTACACCGATATGTTAACCAATAAAAATTGGTATCAGAAGAAAGATAATTTAATTACGAAACTAATCGTATAGGCTTGCCCGCAAAAAAACCGTTCATATAATATTATTGCCATGCCATGCTTTAAAGTTTTAATATCGGAGCAATTAGAAATTAGAATTTTTTTAAGTAACAGTTTTCGCCTAACATTACGGTACCGTGCTGGTCTTTAAAGCAAAAATTTTTGCGCGCTACATACGTCAGCTACATACATGTATACGTCAATTTTATGTGGTTTCATGCAACCGATCCAGACTGTATAAAATTGAACCCTGAAAACAGCGGTTGAGTTTTAAAAAATAATTATTTAAAACCAATTGGATTCATTGGGGGTCAAACACCTTTGAAGACAGGTGACGTCATGCAAATGACGGAAAATGTAAATAAATAAGAATTATCAGAGTCTGAAGATTTTAATGTAGTTTCAGAAGATTCAGATTTTGAATAATAATTATGAATTTCATTTTTCTATGTAGGCCTATTCCATTTGCTATGTAATAAACGCTTTTGATATCATAAATGTTTTAAATACTTTCGATTGCGATTCTATGTTTATTTTAATTTCTTTACTATACAAGATGTCCGAAAAGAGTATCGGGTATT